GAATTTATATATATTAATGTTGAATTTTTTACTTTGATATTATTAATATTTGGATGAATTTTATGAGATTTCACATGAGTTTAATTTTTTGTGCAAAAAAAGACTTGAATGCATAATAATAAGAGTTTCAAGAATTAATTAAACATCTTTTGGAAGTTGAGGGACTGAAGTGCAAGAAGAAAGAGGCTTCTTTGGGACCTAAATGAATGAATCTTAAGTTTAGAGATCTCATTGCTCATCGTACAAAACTTGGAGGATCAGATTTATAATTTTACCATTGAAGAAATTACAAAATGAGCCAGAAACCCGACACGGGTGTGGTGTCGACACATAATAGGGATATCGACACTACGTGTCAAGCGACCAGAATTATACTCTGTTTCCTGTTCTGTGTCGACACTTAATTCAGGGTGTTTGCACCACGTTCAGTGACCAAAATTCCAATTTCTTATTTTGTTCCAAGTCCTACTTCTCTTTTAATAAAGTTTCTTAAACTCTATGAATACCCATTCAAAAATCAATTTTAGGGCTTCTGAGAGGAGACCAAGAAAGACGATTAAAAAGAATTCAACAACAAAAGAAGATAAAAGTTTGAAATTTTATATCGTAAAATTGGTTTTACTTGTCTTAAATTTTATTTTATAATGTTGGATACTCGTATATTTATTATGGGATTATTGATTTTTTTTTCTTTAATTATGAATTGATTTAGCTATCTAAAGTTACGAGGTAACCTAATCAATTTAATATAATTTTATGATTTTTATATTTTCAATATTTATTATTTTACGTAGAGTATATATTATTGTTCTTAATGCTTTTTAATGATTGATCACCACTAAAACTGATTGAAGAGCATAATTGAGATCGAAAAGAGATTTTATGCAATAATTTTTAATAATATATATCATAAATTGAATGAAAATCAAAGATGGACCAATGTGATTTTGTGTAACATTAGTAATAAGTGGACTTAATTTTCTATGTAAATTAGAGAATTTCACATAATATAATGCATCTTTATCTATTTAAATTCACATAAATATATAGTGAGTTAATAAGTGACTTAATCCCGCTGTCACATAAATAATAAATACTTTGAAAGTATATTAATCTAAATTTTATATTAGTTGATTATAATTAAATCAGATGCCTTAAAAAATTTACTCTTGGTGTTACTTAAAGTCAATTTAGTTTTTTTTTAATTAGTTTAATAATTTAATTCTAATTGTTCAAATAAAATTAAAATTGATTAATTTTAATACTTAATTAATCTATAAGTTTTATAAAATAATACTCTAATTTCATTATTATATTACTTAAACGAACTAATACACTTGTTTGTTAGAATGAAATTAGCTCACCAAGTTTTTCAATAAGATTTTAATGCAAAATTTAATAACTTTATGTAAAGTCT